GCCAGAGTGTATCCTAAAATATTCCACACACACGCACGCGCACACACACTCACACTCACACACACTCTCTCTAACGTCCCTGTGGCTCATTTGGGTACTCAGTTTCTATCCGTGTCCTCTTGTTCACGTACCACCACTGTTGAATAGTTTATCCTTGTCTACCCTGTCAATTCCCCTGAGGATTTTGTAGGTAGTGATCATGTCTTCCCTTGCTCTTCTGTCTTCCAGTATTGGAAATGCACCTTACGACACTGGAAAACAGAAGAGTAAGGGGAGACATGATCACGACCTCCAAAATCCTCAGGGGAATTGACAGGGTAAACAAGGATAAATTATTCAACACTGATGGTACGCGCACGAGGGGACACAGGTCGAAACTGAGTACCCAAATGAACCACAGGGACGTTAGAAAGAACTTTTTCAGTGTCAGAGTAGTTAACAGGTGGAATGCATTGGGCAGTGATGTGGTGGAGGCTGACTCCATACACAGTTTTAAATGCAGATATGATAGAGCCCAGTTGGCTCAGGAATCTGAACACCAGCTGATTTACGGTTGAGAGGCGGGACCAAAGAGCCAAAACTCAACCCCCGCAAGCACAAATAGGCGAGTACACCCCCCACACACAGGGCGCTAGTGACTGAGTGGACAGCACGCTGGATATGTAGTCCTTTCCAGGATTCGATACGTAGTCGATTCTACTTTCCTGGATACGTAGTCGTTTTCCGGCGCCGGCGGAAACAGATGATCAGAGTTTCTTTCAGCCTGAATGCCCCTGTTACCTAGCAGTAAATGGGTACCTGGGAGTTAGTCAGCTGTCACGGGCTGCTTCCTGGGTGTGTGTGTGTGTGTGTGTGTGTGTGTGTGTGTGTGTGTGTGTATTCACCTAGTTGTATTTGCGGGGGTTGAGCTTTGCTCTTTCGGCCCGCCTCTCAACTGTCAATCAACTATTGACTAACTACTTTTTTTTATACACCACACACACACCCACCCCAGGAAGCAGCCCGTGACAGCTGACTAACTCCCAGGTACCCATTTACTGCTAGGTAACAGGGGCATTCAGGGTGAAAGAAACTTTGCCAATGTGTTTCTGCCTGGTGCGGGAATCGAACCCGCGCCACAGAATTACGAGTCCTGCGCGCTATAGGCTACGAGACCCCGTGTGTGTGTGTGTGTGTGTGTGTGTGTGTGTGTGTGTGTGTGTGTGTGTGTGTGTGTGTGTGTGTGTGTGTGTGTGTGTGTGTGTGTGTGTGTGTGTGTGTGGTGTGGTGTGGTGTGGTGTGGTGTGTGTGTGTGTGTGGTGTGGTGTGGGTGGTGGTGTGGTGTGTGTGTGTGTGTGTGTGTGTGTGTGTGTGTGTGTGTGTGTGTGTGTGTGTGTGTGGTGTGTGTGTGTGTGTGTGTGTGTGTGTGTGTGTGTGTGTGTGTGTGTGTGTGTGTGTGTGTGTGTGTGTGTGTGTGTGTGTGTGTGTGTGTGTGTGTGGTGTGGTGTGGTGTGGTGTGGTGTGTGTGTGTGTGTGGTGTGGTGTGTGTGGTGTGGTGTGGTGTGTGTGTGTGTGTGTGTGTGTGTGTGTGTGTGTGTGTGTGTGTGTGTGTGGGTGTGGTGTGTGTGTGTGTGTGTGTGTGTGTGTGTGTGTGTGTGTGTGTGTGTGTGTGTGTGTGTGTGTGTGTGTGTGTGTGTGTGTGTGTGTGTGTGTGTGTGTGTGAGTGAGTGAGTATCCACATCAGTTCGGGTGTAAATATATACGTCGCGAAACAATAAGAGACACATGAAACGCAACAGCTTAATTTCAAAATGGACATGAAAACAGGAAATTAACAGCAGCAGCAGCAGCCGGCCCATCAGGCCGGGGAGCGAGCCGGACCACTCTGGTCTCCAGCTGGACGCAAATATCCGGCCCGACGCGTCAGTGTAACTCACTGAATGGCTTCTTGTTCCCCGTGACACTTGCGTCTCTCCATTAGGTCTAATCAAAACTGAAACTGTCAATAACCTTTCATGCTGTCATTATTAAATCTGAAATTGTTGAGATCTGAGCAAAACACGCGCGAGCGTGCGCGTGTATAGTTACTCTCCTATTTGTGCCTGCAGGGTCGAGTATCAGCTCCTGGACCCCCCGTTATTCTACCTTACCGGTTGTCTAATGAAACGACTTCTGAATTATTTCCCTGTAGTAGCTACTTGAACTGCTATGAAAATAGAGTTTGCTTTTACAACCTTTAGTTCTTTCAATTTCTCACAACTTTTAGGCTAAAACAAAGCATTCTAATATCTCTGTACATCGTGTGATGAGTAGAGATGTTAGTAACCTCTTCCTGACCTCGTGAGAGGTGTAAAGATGTTGGTTAACTCTACCTTAACCCTCTTCCGGCGAGTGCTAAGGAATGCGACCAACCTTACCATCTAAAGTTTTCAAAAGCTGTTATGAGCCACGCCATCAGAATTTCAACCACCATTCTCCCTCTGACGGTAAATGAATACCGAGGCGTGTGTGTGGAGGGGGGGGGGGGGGGGGAGGGGGTGGTGATTGATGTAAGTCATTAAAGTAGAGTTAGAAAGGTCTTGCTGCGCCCTCAGGACTTCCCTCGAGTCTTGAGGTAGTTCCTGAGAAATGGGTCTGAGTTTGAGGAGGGAGCAACAACATAATTTTTATATAATCGCTAAACGTGAAAGTTGTGCGAACTCTCTTTTTTTTCTATCCTTCTTCAAAGACGTGCACTCTATGGCCTTCTCCCTCCATCACAGGACTTACGTTACTGGAGGAAGCATTAAATATTGACCTCACACTAGAAAATGAAGGGACGACGACGTTTCAGTCCGTCCTGGACCATTGTCAAGTCGATTGCGTCATTCTCAAGTCGACTTGAGAATGGTCCAGGACGGACCGAAACGTCGTCGTCCCTTCATTTTCTAGTGTGTGGATTGGTCAACATACTTCAGCCACGTTATTGTGACTAATCGCCTACATATTGACCTCACACTTAATTTCGTCATGAAGACAGGATGGGAAAGTGTAGGATTATGCAACAAAGACCTAAAAAGTTAATTAGTCTATTGTCACTAATCCAACTATACACTCATGAACCAATAAAAGGATTTGTAGGTGCAGTTAGTCACTGAAATTTTACATTTAAAGTTAAAAAAAGCATAACATTCCTAGCTTATATGAATATTCTTCAACATTCTTCAATACGTGTTACATTTGAACTTAACTTTTATTATGGGAAAGATATTGAACTGATGGTCATCCCGACTCAAAACTGATAAATCGCTACAAACCATCCTTCTGTTTAGATAATACTTTTGTTTTAACCATGTGAACCATCGTACATACGTACAAGTAATGGCCAATTAGATAGTAGAATTCGGTACTATTCACTATTCACTATTCACCAGGAGGCCTGGTCGACGACCGGGCCGCGGGGACACTAAGCCCCGGAAGCACCTCAAGGTAGCCTCAAGGTACTTCATAGAATTCGAAAACAATTAGACTAGAACAGAAACTTAAATATTCCTAGGCCTAGTATAGCACATATATGTACTATATTAGGCCTCTGATAGCGTGTAATAAGTCTAGGAAGTCGAGGTTACGTCAAGTTTTCTTTGGAACAATCAGTACAAAAAACGTTTCCAGTCTGTTCAAATATAATGGTACCCATTTCTACTTTCTAACTACCTTTTACGTCAATATACGATGGTCGGCATCTTTACTACAAGTACTACCTAAATAGTAAGGTTTTCTGAACACAAGCACAGGTAATAGGGTGAGGGGGGTCGAACCTGGATATGGCTTCAGTAAGGTCACTGATGGAGGTGAAACTATAAGCTGCCAATACTATCGATAGCATGAAGGTTAGTGGAAACAGAGGTGACTTTAGGTAACTGGAATAAGATCACTTATAAGATAAGTGATCTTATTCCAGCTAATATAAGTCACTTATAAGATAAGTGATCTTATTCTAGCTAATAAGTCACTTATAAGATAAGTGATCTTATTCCAGCTAATAAAAGTCACTTATAAGATAAGTGATCTTATTCTAGCTAATAAGTCACTTATAAGATAAGTGACTTATCAGCTGGAATAAGATCACTGCCGTCACAATTCACATACTGAAGCGCAGGACGCTCTGATCTAACATCTAAATTTGCTGACAAGCAAAACCTGCAAAGTGATGCACAAAAATGTTCAGTAGAAGAAAAATTGGTCACTGAGCGAGCATACAACTGATTACGGATCAGCAGTTTGGATTTAAGGAATGAAATCCTGTCTCAACAACCAAAACAGATCCGCAATACTCCGAGAAACAAAAAGACACGAATGAAAATGGTGAAAAAGACTGAATTATATTTTGCTGCAAGAAGGTTTCACAAATTTGCAAATTGGAAAAGCAGACTGAGCCATCAGCAAGAGTACTCAGCTAGAGTGAAAAGTACCAGAGGCCATTACTACAAACACTTACTTACATAAACTCAAAGAAAATGGTTGCTAAAGAAGTCGTTGCTTTCCCCGTCTTAATATATATTTAATTTGAAGTACCAACACTAATATACAAAGACTTCAAACTATTACGAATTACAACCATTGTTATTTTTAAAAAATAAAGAAACAAGAAATATATTTATCAACATTTTCTTTCTATTAATGTGGTAGCTACGTTACTTTCACTAATACTATTGCACTCTCTCAGGGGCAGTAGGGATAATGGACACAGTCTATCCCCTATCAGATGGCCAAACCACTCACCCCGAAAAGGATAGTGCTACAATATGGGTAAATTTATAGATTTATGATAATTTATTCTACATCGATTCATTTAATTATAATAAACTGGGCGAATTAATTGTTTCGGGACACGTGTGACCCGAAAAGACCGAGACCGGGTCTCGACCGGACCGGGACACGTGTGTTTGTCCTAATGAGGCGTGGGGGAAGTGTATCCCCCAGCGAGACACCAAGACACAGTGTATCACAACCCAGTGGAAGCCCGGGACAGTGTCCATCACCCAGTGGGAGCCCGGAACAGTGTCCATCACCCAGTGGGAGCCCGGGACAGTGTCCATCACCAAGTCGGAGCCCGGGACAGTGTCCCTCACCCAGTGGAAGCCCGGGACAGTGTCCATCACCAAGTCGGAGCCCGGGACAGTGTCCCTCACCCAGTGGAAGCCCGGGACAGTGTCCATCACCAAGTCGGAGCCCGGGACAGTGTCCCTCACCCAGTGGAAGCCCGGGACAGTGTCCATCACCAAGTGGGAGCCCGGGACAGTGTCCATCACCAAGTCGGAGCCCGGGACAGTGTCCCTCACCCAGTGGGAGCCCGGGACAGTGTCCATCACCAAGTGGAAGCCCGGGACAGTGTCCCTCACCCAGTGGGAGCCCGGGACAGTGTCCCTCACCAAGTGGAAGCCCGGGACAGTGTCCCTCACCAAGTGGAAGCCCGGGACAGTGTCCATCACCAAGTCGGAGCCCGGGACAGTGTCCCTCACCCAGTGGGAGCCCGGGACAGTGTCCATCACCCAGTGGGAGCCCGGGACAGTGTCCATCACCAAGTGGAAGCTCGGGACAGTGTCCCTCACTGATGCTCACACAACGTGACCTTACAGCATATGTTGCTCAGAGTAAACAAATAATTATATATAATACAAACATTATTATTATCAGTAAGTTTAGACTAAAATAAGTAAAAAGTTACAAAGGTCCGAAACTGCTTTTTCTCAAACTTTCCCCTGGCTTATACACCATCGCATTTGGCAATTTTTATCGTCCCCGAGTGACTCCAGGACTCTGAGGTGGAGCTGCCACCGCCGCTACTCCCACCAGGAAATAGATTTGAGGCAAAGTTGGCCATTTGTGCCGAATGTATGTGCCAGTGGTGCTTTGGAGGGCAGATGTATGTGGCAGCGTTGTCTCTTGCCTCCAAATACATGTGACAGCATTTTCTCCCGTCGCCAAATAAACGACTTGGTGTTTTCGCCCTCTGAGAGCTCGACGGAAACCTACGAGTCTCGTTATGATTTTGGATCACCTGGTTGAGTTATTATCCTGGCAGGCCTGGTCGAGTTTTCGTCGTCTTCTGTCTGGTTCGCTTCATGCAGGTCGGCGTTCAATCCACGACCGTCCAAGTGGTTGGGCATCATTTCTTTTCCCTCCCACGTCTTATCCTAATTGCTTATCCTGGTCCTTTCTGTCATCCTTATCCTGATCTCTAATTGTCAATAGAGAGCACGTGGCTTGGCAGGGAACTGTCAAGAGAGACACCACGTGGTCTGACAGGGGTTTCCCTTTCTCATGCTCGGTGCATTGTTTAGTAAACAGTGTCACCGTTGGTGAAGCAGGAGATAAAGGCTCTTTGGGTGTCTTGTGGTGCTGCTCTCTAGCCTGACCACCTCACCAGCATCAAGGTCAATATTGTTGTGTGTGAAGAAAGGCGTGAGTGGTTGTCTACACTGATAGCTACGTGGCTTATCTTCTGTGTAATCGACGTTAATATTTATTCAATTCCCATGAATTAAAAATCACATATGTCAGTAAAATTGATAGGCTCAGACTATTTTGTGATTTTTCATATAATTTAGGAGAGAAATGTATATTAAATATATTTTTCTTGTTAGGTATATTACGAATTTCACTTAATCTCCTTGTCCTCATACCCCCCAGATGCTTGTCATAATCCAGCTCCTTGTCCTCATACCTCCAGCTCCTTATCCTCATACCTCCAGCTTCTTGTCCTCATACTTCTTCCGATTGCTTTCAGTCATACCGATTTAGCGTTTCCTCTTGATATTTACTTAATATTTTCGAAATTGAATGCGAAGATAAAATATTCTTTTTTATTGTCTTCATTTCATGTTTTGTCTCTCATCTTTCCCTTTCTCTTTGGTATACACGTCTCATTGTCATTATTACTTAACATTAAATTTATTGATTTATGTTTTTTTATGCAGGTGATGAATCACAATAACGTGGCTAAAGTATGTTGACCAGACCACACATTAGAAGGAGAAGGGACGACGACGTTTCGGTCCGTCCTGGACCATTCCCAAATCCATTCTCACAATCGACTTGAGAATGGTCCAGGACGGACCGAAACGTCGTCGTCCCTTCACCGTCTAGTATGTGGTCTGGTCAACATTTTTTTTTATATTTATTGATTTATTGATCAGATAATCTCTCTAATATTTGTATCTGTCTTAATACATCTGCTAATCTGTCGTTGTATCTGTGTATCATTCCAATTCATCTCTCTCGCTGGACGTTACTATAATATAACAATGTTTAAGGCATAACGTCATTAATCGACAGATGGCCCCCCCCATCGATGTCAACCACTGATATGATTAACGAAGTAATTCAATTGTTAATAATTGATTGTACCGTTGTTAATCCTATTTTTCCATTGTTTGTTCCGCTGTTGATCCTATTTTTCACAGGAAGCTTAAAACTCCTCCATAACTTAACATATGTAGACCAGACCACACACTAGAAGTTGAGGGGACGACGACGTTTCGGTCCGTCCTGGACCATTCTCAAGTCGATTGTGATTAGGAGGTAGGGACAGGCAATAAATAGGCAAGAGAGAGCTGAGAATGGGCTCAATCGACTTGAGAATGGTCCAGGACGGACCGAAACGTCGTCGTCCCCTCAACTTCTAGTGTGTGGTCTGGTCAACATACTTCAGCCACGTTATTGTGACTCTTCGCCTACTTAACATATGTAATTGCAACACTGCAACTTTACACTCAATGTCTTGGAAGTCTTGCAATGAAGTTCATAATTTGTTGAGGTTGGTTGCACTGCAAAGACGAAAGTTTGAAATAAAAATTAAAACTCTACAGATGGTTCCATCTGATTGCAGGTGGAAAATTTTGAGAAAGACCGAGAATTAAAGTCTATTTCATTAGATGGATGGATTGATGACCATCCACTTGAACTCGTCGGTACAAGTGCAGGCCTCGCTTCTTGCAGGTCGGCGTTCGATTCCCGAGGGTCCAAGGGGTTGGTCATTGTCCTTTCCCTCCGTCCTATCTCAGATTCATATCCTCAAATCCTTGCAATCGATATATAGTTATACCCGTTCAGCGCCTTCGCTATATAATTACCTTATCTACTGTAGATGGATATATAAGTTAATAAACAGAATGGCAATTGAGATCAATCCTTGTATTAGCTATATATACAGATCACTAGTATATAATTGGTATATAATCTATATATTACCTCTGATCCTCATCTTCAGGAGCCAATGAATTTGCAGCATGCAAGCTAAAGTGATGCAGACTGTTAGTCGAGCGGCTGAGGTGAAGTCAGGAGAGATGAACAGCTGAGAAAAGGTAAAATGAACAGCAGTTGGGGGGTATAAATAGCCTAAGCTACTCTATCCCTTTGAGATGTATTTATTGCTTATCTCAATAAACATACTTGAACTTGAACTTGTAATGAACAGCTGAGAGAGCATTGACAAGGGTAGATAGGATGGTTCTGTCTACCTCACAGAGGTCCTCTAGCACGCTATTACATCTCTTATTGTAGTCATAGTAGCCCTCTGTTGTGAAGGACTACCATAGAACCATTATATTAGATAGGTACAGAGAGAGAGAAAAAAAAAAGAGGGAGGTAGAGAGAATGGGAGGGTAGGAAATTGGGAAGGAGAAAGGGAGGAGAATGGATGTGAGAGGGGAAGAAGGATGTGGGAGAATAGGAGGGAACGAGGGAGGAAGAGAGACAGAATGGTGAAGTAGATAGTCAAAAAGTGTACGTGTCTTTAGGACGCAACGTGAAAACTCTATATAATAATAACCAAAATAATGGGCCATTGAGGGTCAAATTGAATGTAAAAGAGAGAGAGAGAGAGAGAGGGGGGAAGAGAGAGAGGGGAAGAGAGAGAGAAAGAAACAAAGAGATGGGGAGGGGGAAAAAGTGAGGGAAAAAGAGAGGGAGAAAGAGGGAGAGAGAGGGAGAGGAAGAGAGGGATTGAGAGAGTGAAACAGGAAGACAAATTTTGCCATACTGGTGATAAGAGTTGTATAGTTTACCCAGGTAAGACAGCATTAATCTAGACGAGAGAAACAGAGAGAACTACCCCTGATATGACACCAGTGCTCCTTATTCAACCACAGCGAATGACTCTTACAGCGCTGAACTAACCGAGAAGTCAAATATATACTGAACACAAAGATGATGCTCACACTGTTGGCCTAATTCTCTAAGATGTAGGATTAACAAGCTGTATCAAATGTAACAATGACGTCCAGCATATTGCTCTGAGACGTCGGTTGCAATACGAGTTTCTGAAATGGAGGCAGGTAGTTTGTCCCTCTCTCTCACACAGAGAAATCCCATTACCGTGATATATCAATCTGAAAAATCCACAGCAGCCGCGAATTCACCGTTCCTGGGGATTTTCTAATTGATATATCACCATAATGGGATTTCTCTGTGTATTGAATGAAGGGCGCCAGAGGGAGAATTACTGGGCGACAGAACCAAAGTGCATGAGGGGGGGGGGATTGTGTGAAACCTTCGTTCGGCTTCACTGGAATCCTCGGGAATCCTCGAGGGTGCAGTAGTATCCGAAGTTGCAATTCTTTTGACTATGTCGTGACGTAATCGTTTAGAGCGTGCATCTGGGAATACTCAACGCATAGGATCGAATCTTCATCACGGCTCCAAGTGGGATTTCTCTTTGTGCATTTCCATTTAATTTATAAAAACTACTTAATAAAATTAAAATGAAGCAAATTTGATTAAAACAGAGCATAAGAAAATTTGTCTACAAAAGGCTATGAGGGATGTAGTATACCTGAAGAGTGAAGGTCACAGGAAAGTTGATTCATGAATAAATAACAATTATTTAAGCATAAATAACACAATTACAATGAAAGTGGAAACGAGACAGACGCTGGATGCTCCATAACAGCGACAGATGAAACTGTTAATACACGCTGAGAGCGAAAAAGAATCCCAGACGATAACATTTTGGCAACGTTTACAATAATTCTGAAGTGATCATTTACGAGTGAGATGAGAGAAATAGTCGACAGTTGAATTTTCTAATAAAAATTATGCTGGTGATTAGACTAAATTTTTGTTGAATTGAGAATAATTTCAAATTCGAGAGTTAGAGGAATTAGAATGGACACTTTTCGAACGGGTAAACCAAAGTGATTGTTTTGAAGAGACAAGTTATGAAAACAATTAAGGGAAAATCAAGCTAGGAAAGAGCACACACTCAAAGACCCAAAACTCTCTACATAGACAGAGACACGCAATCTATGACACACACTTTCTCGCTGTTTAATGCTTTGAAGGGGAACGAAAACTGAAAGAAGTTATGAGATAGGTTTTTTAAAGCAAGAGACCAAAGAGAGTTCTCAAAGTTTGAAGATGACAATTCACCTCCCTTCTTTTTAAGAAAGTTGCGTTCAATGGTGCGTGGGACAGACTTACTATGGTTCCTTGCAGAAGTATAAAGAGAAGCCTTAGCTGCATGAGATAACTGTCAGAACCTGGAAGTCCTATTCCGCTGCTGGATTGCTCAGATCTA